ACAAGAAGGTGCTCAAGAGTAGTCAGCATGGATTCACCAAGGGGAAATCTTGCTTGACTAACCTGATAGCCTTGCCCTATGAGGAGAGGCTGAGGCAGCTGGGCCTGTTCAGCCTGGAGAAGAGAAGACTGAGAGGGGATCTGATCAGTGTCTCTAAGTACCTCAAGGGAGGTACTTACATTAGGATTTTGTGGGTGTACAGAAAGATGTTTTAGTCATATCTGTCTTTGTGCAAATATTCTTTTGTTAGTGATTGCAGCTCTTCTTTCAGGTAGGCTAATGTAACCTGCCTGAAATTACTACAGGAAATTATTGCAGTGAATAATAGGTGATTTAGGTAGTAACCTGTTTTCATTGTAATGGGATAGTAATGCAGCTTTAACTCATGTTGCCATAGACATTTCAAATTCACCAGTTAAACAAAGCATCCTTTCTGCTATGTGATGTCCTGCCAGCTTTGTTTATGCTATATTACAATCTTACTTGTAGTGCTTGCCTTCGGAAGACTTAATTTTTGCCAAGAATGAGAATATTTATCTGGCTTTAGAGATTTTTTTTTCTCTCTGTAATAGAATCTGATTGTATTTGTTTGCTGGTTGTTGCTCACTGTATTTCTTTTGCTCACTATTTTCTGTAGCCTCTGTATTTGCAAACAGTATTTGTTGTGGAGCAAAAGCTCAGCGAGAAGCATGCAAGTTTTCATTTTTAACTGGATGATGATCTCTTGATTTTTTCAGATCAAGCATATTAGTTGAAGGGTGCAGGTTTTATTCTCCAACAAAACACATCTTTCCCTTTAGGCATAACTGGGCACTCAAAATAATAGTTTAGACTTTGTTCCCCCTAATTTGTGATTCTTAGCTGACAAGGCTTCAAAAAAGAGCATTTTGGCTGAATATGCCATGTTGCCAGCCACCTTTTCTCATGCTTGCTGCCAGGGGAAGAAAAAAATAGGAAAAAAAAAAAAAAAAAAAAAAGGATTCTTCTTGGGCTTTATGTTCAGTAATCGAATCAAAGTTCATATGTAAAGCTTGGTTGGAGATCCAGTTCTAGCTCATAGATTCCCAAAGTTCATGTAGAAACAAAGAAAAAAGGATGCTTATGAAATACTTAAATTTCCTGTCAGAAAGTAGATAATAAGTATCCTTCCCGTTGCTATTATTGTATACACATACAAATCAAATGATTATGCTCTCTCTGTGAAGCAGTGCGCTCTTTCTTTCATATGGCTTTTTACAAAGCACTTTATTGCTGCTCCCTTACTTGCTGGAAATATCAAAACAGAAGGAATTGTGCCTTGTAGGTTATTGGAGGATCTGTATGTTCCGTTTGTTGTTTGTTCATTTGAACTTTGTTTTGATAAACTTTGGAAAATTGCAAAAAAAAAAACATTTGACTAGAGGTGATTTTACAAATTTTATTATGGAACACTCAGCCCAGTGTTGCCCATAAGCCACATAAGGGGATAAAAGCTGTAATTCTCTGTCTGCCTTATTTGCCAGCAGAGGCACTTAGTAGCAAGATATTTGAGCAGTTCAAATAAGTTTGACCAATACAGATTTTCTTGCTCAGGCACAGTGCTTAAGCCGCTGTTACCTTTCTGCTTCTGACAGCTTCTGAAATAACTCCACTCAACACATGGTATTTTTCTTAATCGTTTGATTTAGTGTTGTTTTGTTTCTGATCTGGATCATTTTCAATGAATTGATTTGGGAAATGTATGCATAATTTTGTCAATTGATCTTAAGGGTGAGTAATCTCTGGTGCGAGGTGTGGCATCCCCACTTGACTTTTAATTGCATTCAGGACACAAAATGTGATTGCAGCCTGACAAGAGCAATTTTCAATTATAGTGATAGCTGTGCTAGATACAGTAGAAGAATCAGCTTAGAAAACAGGACAACAGGACAGCATTAACTGCTATAAATTACATTGCTATTTATTGTCTGACTGTAGTAACTATGCTCCCTAGTCACAGACCAGGAAGCCTTCCTTGTCTACCGTGGTCTAATCACAAATAGATTTAAATTACCAATGTGTGAGCACTGCACTACTTATTATTCTAATCTAGCAGAGCTGCTGATTAATAGTTGGTTATTTGGCATTTTAAGTAAGATCGGATTGACTGCAGCTGCTTTTGGTAAATTATTTATTGTATATTGTATTATTGTAATGCTGCTACTGCAAATAAACAATCATTAGATGATTGTTAAAGCAACCATAGTTAGTCTTTCTGATATGAAAACAATTAAACTGTCTGTTTTAATTTTCCTCTCAAATAGATGTGCACTTAGAATTAGAAGAACGACTCGCAAAATTCATGAGAACAGAGGAAGCTATTATATACTCATATGGATTTGCAACGATTGCCAGTGCTATTCCCGCATACTCAAAACGAGGAGATATTGTGTTTGTGTAAGTACTGTTTTCTCCTTGGGAAATTACAGGTTTAAGACTTCCTTTAAATATTTTTTTATTATTACAAGTCATGATAATTTGACCTTTAGAGAATAATGCTCCAAAAGTTCAGATGTCTTGTTTTTTTCCTTTAATTTTATTTATTTATTTATTTATTCTCCAAAATACTCCAAATGCAAGCCAGTTACTGCTTTTTCAAGGAAAAGCAAATGTGGACAGTCATCTGAAAATCAAGATGTTTGTATAGAAGGGCTTATACAAGTGTGATTCTAGTTTTCTTCATAATCAAATGTGTACTCAGATCTGCTTTTATTTACAGCTGGTTTTTCACCTTTCCTACAAGCCAGTTTTTCTCCTCATGCATTTTGGATTAGTTGGATAAAGATCACTATGGCTTAACATAACATAAGAACAGCTATACTAGGTCTAATCAAGGATTCAGCAAGTCCAGTATCTTCTCCCATGGAGTAGCCAGTGGCAGTTTCTCTAGAGAAGAGTAAAATACCAGGAGAAGCAGAGTGTAAAAACGCTCAAAAATTTCTGAGCCCAAGGATTTATGCTTTAATTGCTCTTCATAGATTTTTCTTATTTTTTTCTATTGTTTTTGAACCAATATGAATCTTTAATATCCAGAGTGCTTCTGTGATGTGTAATATCACAGTTACAATTGAACATTATATGAATAAATGCCTTAACCTTAATAAATCTAACACCTATTTCAATTGATGGATTTGATTTTAATGAAGAGAGTCTATGAACCACTACTGCTTGCTCATCTTCTGCAAACTACTGTTGCTTTTGCAGTTGTCTACTATAATCTGTTTTTTGGTCACTTTTAAGCATACAGTTTAACTGTAAGAGTCAATGCCCAGAAGACTTCTTTTACAGAAGCTTGTTCATAGCTTGATATCTTTTTTGGTCATCTTTGAACACTTATCTTTTTATTATTATTATTATTATGATTTTTGAGATTAAGTACCAGAATAGCATGCAATATTCAACATGCAGGTGAATCCTGGATTTAGCTGTCTTGTATAATTTCAGATTCTCAGTAGCCTAAAGATCATCTTCCTTTGCTTAAAAAAGAACTTGGTTGAAATTACTGTATTTACCATGTGCAGAAAGTTTAAGTTGCCACTCTTAAATAATTATTGGGAGTATGTAGCTGTGAAATTGGTGGATTGCCGCTCCACCAATTCTCGCTAGGAATTTGTTTTTTCAAAACTTAAAATGACAGCTTAGTCTTTAAACTTTGGGAGAATAATTCTCAATGAGTCTTAAAAATCAGGTTTTGAATACTCTGAAGACCACTGTAAATGTTATAGGCACGGCTTTGTACTTTTCTGCTAAGATCCAGGAAAAAGGGCTTCTGGTATGATGACTAGGAGTAGTACCCAGTTCATTCATGTTGCACACCAATGAATACCAAAGGACCAGTGCATGCTTCAACAAAAGCTTGCTTGTTTTCAGTGCAATATTGCAGTGTTACAGTGTATAGGGAAATTGAGAAGCTCTGGAAATATGTTTCAAACAGTAAGTAAAATCTATGATGATTTAATAAATCTGTTCTTAATTTCCCATAAGTATAGATAGCAACTCAAAAGCAGATCAGACACACAGAAAAGCCAGTTTTCTTTGATGAGCCAGTTTTCTTTGATTGAATGCTAAACCAAGTGCAAATTTAAAGGTCTTGATACATTTACAGAGATGAAGCTGCCTGCTTTGCTATTCAGAAGGGCTTACAAGCATCTCGTAGTAACATCAAGTTATTTAAACATAATGATATGGCTCACCTGGAACGACTGCTGAAAGAACAAGAGGTTGAAGATCAAAAGGTACAGTTCTTTTGATGAGGTGTTTGTACTCTTCTGTGCCCTATCACATTTTTCTTTCTTTCTTTTTCTTTTTCTTGTTCTCTTTTTTCCTTTTTCTTTTTTTGTTCTTTTTTCATATTGGTTTCTCTAATTGACTGGACGCAGTTCTTAGACAATTATTTCATTTTCATATAACTCTGTTGAACAGTTGATGTTGCTTATATAACTAAGATCTTGTGTTGTATTTGTCACCACTGGAAGGAAACTCAAAGGATTTGGTAGCATGGGATATCACTGTGATCAAATGATGGAAATGTAGTGATTTTGGTGATTTTGCATGGATTTTGCGCTTTAGATTTTCGTGTAACTATATTTACCTAACAAATTGTACTTGTTAATTATGAATTTGAATGCCACACAGTAAAATCAACACAAAGCAGTGATGCTAGTGTTAGGTTTGCTTTAGAGAAGGAATGTGATTCTTTTTTTTCCTTTAACTTCTCTTTCAATTATCTGTCTCCGCTGAACTCTTTAAGATATCCTGTCTTTAAAAGCTACCTTTATATTCTGCCTGGAATACAAAAGGCTGCCCAAAAGCACCTATTAAAATCAGCATCAGCTAGTCCAGAAAACTCACATGCATGAGTTTTAAAACAATGTGCTGAAGAACTAGCTCCATTATATTCCTTAGTCATAGAATGCTGGGGAAGTTGCAGGCATTTGGGAGAAAGATGATATCCTGCTAACAAAAAGTGAACTGGATAAGATGGATAATTGTAAGCTGACGAACATAAATCAATAATGGATGTGATTAATAGCAAATTTGAAGGAGCTAGTCTACACACATTTATGTGAAGTGCATCTTGTCCAATAATCTCTACCTGTGATCTTAGATTTAGTTGGCAGAACAGTGAGGTCGTCTGTTTAGGTAGCACATTTGTTTTGTTGGAGTAGGGTGCTTTGATGGAGGTACATGATTAACGTTTTTCTTAATGTGCCTAGTTTTGGTACTTAGTGCTCACTAAAGACAAATGTTTTTTAAGACTTTTCCCAAGAACTGAAGAAGGTGAAGCTTAAAATCCTACTGGTAAAATAAGCAATAAGGAAACCATAATTTGAACATTGTTTCGCTTTATTTAAAGGTTTAGCACAATCAAGTGATAAAAGAAAATAGAGCTGGGCAATGTGGAAGAAAGTAAGTGGTGATAATATTAAGTCTGAGAGTAGTATCACCCATGGACTAACTTGTGTATTTTCCATTGCTAGCAGGTTTTGAGTTAGTCATTTTAGAACAGTGAAGATCAAGTAATAAAATCATAGTTTAAACAGAAAAAAAAATGAAGAGCATTCTTATGGCTTTTGTTGTTCAGAGACCAGACTGTGACTTGAAAATTGTGAATGCTTTTGAGTCATGTCTTACGAAGACAACTGTTTCCAAGAGGATTGTGCTGCATTGAGAATCCGGTCACATAAATTAGTTGTTAAAAAGCCTTCTAAATGCTCTGACTAATGAGAGAACATAACTGTTCTGAATATAATAGAGACCTAGAATTGCAGTATTTCTTCTGTAGTTGTATTGTTTATGTATTATGCATAAAGTTCAAATGAATTGGTTGTGGTTTGTTAAGAATCTTAAAATCTATGTATGAGTTAAGAGCTTTAAAACTGTCAAAAATAAAGGCAAATAGTCCAATGACAAGTTTCAACTTCTATTGTGATAAATACTAAATTTAGACTAAAGTAAAAGCTTACTTTAAAAAAAGACATTATCTTCCTTCCCTTCCCTTCCCATTACTTGCCTCCCCACAAAACCATCAGAGCTTCATTTGTCAGTAATTATTGATATTGAACTGAAATCATATCTTTCTTTGAAGAATCCCCGCAAGGCCCGTGTAACTCGAAGGTTTATTGTAGTGGAAGGATTGTATATGAATACAGGAGACATCTGCCCTCTTCCAGAATTGGTAAGTGGTTTCAGTTTGCTTTTTAAATTCTGTTTATGAACACACATGATTATAAAACAGTAGTAGTGTGCAGTTAAGCCTACAAAGAAAAGCTTTGCTTGTAGTTTTTGAGTAATATTCTTCCTCAAATATTTATGAAATGGGGATCCCAAACTGACATTTTTGTGGAAATTCCCAATCAGTAAGTAATAATACATTTATATAATATAATAATTTATGTGAGGAAGTAAATATCCAGGTAAAGTCTTAGTTTCAAACCTGTAAAATCTACTGTATTTTAAAAACTTTCTGTCACTATATTGTTAAACTAAAAATATATCTGTAAAAATTAGTGTCAAAAAAATCTTCATACAATGGCTCCAAGGAATACATTTATTATTCAGAATAAATTGACTTGTTATGCAGACTGTAAGTAAGGAAAGAAATGCTGTGAAAACATAGTATCTTATCAGTAGACAAGTAACCAAAGTTTATTTTTGTACATGATCGTTAGAATTTAAGGAATTTACTCTGTCTTTAGCATTAAATAGTGATAATTGTTTGAAAGCTTTTTTAGTGTTTAAAATCAGAACTCATCTACGGAGCTGATGTTTTTGCAGTATTTGTGGTACTGTAGTTGTCTGTATGCCATCTTATTTCCCCCCACGCATTTTGTTACCAGGTTCTCATGGGTTTGTCTTACATTTTGTATTATTTCCATTGTATTAGATAAAACTGAAATATAAATACAAAGTTAGAATTTTTTTGGAGGAGAGCCTTTCCTTTGGAGTACTAGGGGAACATGGGCGAGGAATTACTGAACACTTTGGAATAAATGTAAGTGCCATCTTCCTGTATTTTATGTTGTAATGAGACCAGTAGTGAGGCAAATTTTGCTACATTTTTTTGTCATTAACAATATTTACTGATTTTTTTTTTGTGTGTGTGTATGTGTTTTTTGGTTGTTATTGGTTTGTTTTTTGTTTTGTTGCTGCTGTTCTTACTTTTCCTTCTGTCCACTTACCAGTAGTAGAAGTCCAGGGCACTTTTTCTTTCTACTGCTTATCTGAAGTAGTTTTTTTAGAGTATGTATCTTTAGTGAGGAAAGCAAGCAGGAAAATTCTTACCGTACATAATTTAATACCCTTTCTATTTAATGCTCAGTGTAATATTCTCCAGGTCCATATGCCGCAAAGGCATTATACTTAGGCGTAATATTTGGGAGTTAGGAGCAAGTCAAAAGTGTCTTCTCAGCAGCCACTTAACCCATGCCTGTTCTGATATATTGCATTTGACTCAAGGGAAAAATATAGGAGAAAGCTTTTGTTAATCCTTCCAAAGGTATTTTCCTACACTTTTACTGATGGCTTCAGCCAAAATATACTCCCAACACAGCAAGTCTTTCTTTTGTACTCTCTTCTCCTGAGGAGTACTGAAATGGAATGAACTCTGTGCTTTGCAATCCTTATAGTTTTTTGTTTACCTAACCACCTGAGCTAGAGAAGGAAGAAATGCTGTTTTGGCAGCCAATGTCTCCCCGATGTGAAGTATCTTCTACTGCCTCTGAAGGGCAGAATTTAGTTAAAAATTATGTATCTCACTACTTTCTACTCCTACCCCTATTTTTAATTTGTTTTCACTTTGCATGTTTCCCGGTTCAATCGAGAGCATAGAAAAGAGCAAATGAATGTTAAACAGCATTAGAGAACTGCTGTGAGGCTTGCAAACCACCATCCGATTGACTCGTGTAAAGTTCTTTTACACACAGTCTGTTTTCTTTACTCAAAATAGAAATTTGTAGTGATAGGCATCTGTATGCGTTACAGAGTATGGCAAAAAGAAAAGCTTGTTTGCAACTAATGAGTGAAATAAGACAATTGCGTCTTTGGGGTCCAAACTGTGATTTGTCTAGGCTTGTGCTCAGTTTTAGTCCCGTTATATCTTAACTGACTGTTGGGGGACTACTAGCTGTTGTAATGGATGCCATGACACTGTATCCTTTAAAGAGTTGTGACCCATATACATATAACCTCTTTTTTTTTTTTTCCTGCTTATGTTCCATACATAGTGGTTCCTGAAAGAGAATGAGCTTGTGTAACATATATACAAATCTATATATCTTAATTTCCAAGGTCCTCCTTGTACTGCTTGAAATTTTGTAAATTGCACCTCCTTTTGAACATGCAGTATCATTCTGGACATTCTGGTGTTTATAATAATATGAAATAAGACATGTTAGGTGTATTGTACAGTAGTCGTAATTTAATCAAAGGCATTTCTTGATAACTTTGTTGTTAATTTAAATGGCAGATAGATGATATAGATCTTATCAGCGCAAACATGGAACATTCACTGGCTTCCACTGGAGGATTTTGCTGTGGTAGATCTTTTGTTATTGATCATCAGGTAAGCCATATCTTATTTTTATATGGCGTGACAGGGTTCCTTTTTGAGAATTTGGAGTATTTTATCAACTTACAAGCCATGTTATGATAGGAATTATTATACAACACTGAATTCTGTATAGGAACTTCCTTCTTCTACAGAGGATATTAGATGAATCGGAGAGCTACTTTTAAATTTAAACAAATTTACTTGTAAAACATTTTTTTTCTGAATTGTTACAAACAAAAAAAATGGTTTTTTTTGTTTCTTTTTTTTTCTCTCCCAGCGATTGTCTGGCCAGGGCTACTGCTTTTCTGCATCCCTGCCTCCTTTGTTAGCTGCTGCTGCTATTGAGGCGCTGAATATTATGGAAGATAATCCAGGTACGTAATTCAGGAAAATCCTATTCTTCGTTTTTTTCTTCATCCCAAATTCACCCCATATTTTTCCCTACTTTGATTTTTAACTTTTTTTTTCCCATGTTCTCTCTCTTCTTTTTCAGTTGATCAGTTTTGCACTAATGATTATTTTTCTTTTTATAATTTCTCACCTTTTTTTATTTTTAAAAATACTTCTTCTGAATAAAAATGAGTTACTTGAGGATAAAGGAGACAGTGATGCTATCAGTTGAGCTCCAGATAAGAAGTCGCTGTTCTACTTTACATACTCACTGAATTCTTGGGACAAGTGATATACAAAACTGGCCAAATTGTGTTTAGTTGTTTGTTGTTGTTTTTTTCTCTTTCATTACCGTCAAAAGGTTGAGAGAGATCTACAGAGAGGGGTAGTATTTAGTCTCTCAAAAATGGAAAAAAAGCATTAAGTCGCACAAAAGTCCAAGCATGAAGGTCCTGTGTACTCCCTGCCTGGTCCTCAAGCATTAAACAAAAAAAGACAACAAAAAAAACTACAACACAAAAATAGAGTAGGCTTTGAAATTATTAGCTATGGTGAAGTTTGATCTTTATTTAAGGAAAGAATCAAGGTTTGTAGATTCAAGAGTCAAAATTTCCTGTTTAAGAGTTGTCAATGAGTGGATGAGAGCACCAAGGAGCAGAAGTCTCCTTGCCTGTAGATAGATTTACAAATAAGTTGGATTTCTCATTTCAAATGCCTTAGTAAGCGTTTGTGGTATTCTTTCCACATGATCATGAAATGAGTACAGCTGTAGTAAAGAGATAAAGGGAAATAATGTTTCTTTTGAGATCTTAACAAACCTGTCATTTAATGACAGAAATGAGAATGATGAGCGTTAGGAGGAGTAGTGAAGAGACTTAATCCTTCGAAGTGCTTTAATACATTAATTCTCTTTCCATTTTTTTTTAATCTTAGACTCACAGAAATGTAAAGCAGAAACAAGATCTGAGGATTGTTTGTTTGTTTTGTCTAGGTATTTTTCAGATTCTTCAGGAAAAGTGCAAGCGAATTCACAGAGCTTTACAGGGGTAAGCTGTTTGTTTCTTGTTGAGGATGATGGATTTTTTTTCTTATTTTAGTAAGGTTTTGGCTTTCTGTTTGTTTTACTTTGTATTATTGTCAATCTATCCTTTCCTTTGAAATGACTTTAAAGAACTCTCCTTCCTTAGACTGTATCTGATTCTCTTGATGTTTAGACTGGAGTTTTTGGACAAATTTTTCTAAATCCCTTTACAGGTATTGAAATGAGATTATACCTTATTTCTGTTGGGGATGATTGCAAACTCTTATGTACTGAAGCCTTTATGAGAAGGCAGCATGGTTTTGATGGTGCAAAGTATTGATAATCATGGTGAAAGAAATATGTAAGTAACTATCATTTGATGATAGTTATGGGCATAGCTTAGCTGATATTCTTTCAAATGAAAGAATGCCTTGCAGTCACCTAACATACAATATTGTTTTTAACATATGAGATTTGGATATTAAATAGTAATGGAAGTATGATTATTTGAGGACATAAAACAAGTCTGAAAAATAAGAATTCTGTTTCAGATTTTCCTAACAGTGATCCGTTTTAAATGGTAGATGTAATTAGTAATTGTATTTTTTCTGTCATTTTTTGATATTAAAAACTATAAAAATTTCTCTGACTATTCAAGTACTATCTAATTTGCAGATTAGGTATGTAAAAAGTGTATATTTTACACTTCATTTCCTTCAGCAATTTCCTATTACATATTACAAAAATGCATATACACAGAGCACACAATCTACTTTGATAATGTAGTATCAATGACGCATTGATGTAGTATTAATGATACATTGTTTAAATGCATATTCTGTCATTCAGTATGAATTACATTTATTTCAGTAAGCATCTGCATCTTGATAAAAGTTTACTCTTCAGTGCATTCTTACTGTTAGAACTTCTGATAGTCTTCAACAATGTTCAGTTTCTTTGGTATAATTCAACCATTTGATAATCCTAATCCTAATCTCCTTTGCTCATGTTTTGCCTAAACAGTGGTTTGAAAACACATAGACTATTCAGGCCATAAATATACAAATGCTTCTAAATTTCAAATATTTTACAGTCAACTGAAAGTTGTTCATGTCTTTTCTTTACTACTAAGCGCATTTTACTACAGAATCATTATAATATTCTTCTGCACTTGTTGTTTTTAACATAAAAATATAAACATTTAAAATACAGGAATAAACTCTGAGTAAGGAGAAATGATTAGCCTTTTATTCAATAATAGCCACGAAAAACAATGCTGGATAATATATGGCTAACGTGATTATTCCGTGAATTATACTTTTTTTTTTTTTTTCATCCTAAATTATTTCAGTGATGAGTATGGTCACAAATTAACACGTGAACCAAACGCCTATCCTGAAATAGTGTTTTTCTGTTTCTGCCTTATGGAAAGCAGTGTGGCAATACTGAGACCAAACTGCGTAGATTACAAAGGCAGTTACTTTTTGGACACATTCAAGAGAACTTGTAGAATTTAATAATGCCAAGATGTTACGAGGTAAACTATGTCAGTAGGGTGTGTAAAGCAATATTGGAGGGAAGATTTGAACTAATATTTGCATGATTCTGTGTGGTGTAGGTTTTTATTTTATCCTGTTTTTAATTTGTAACCATGTCAGGAAAGAGATGCAGTTTTTTAAACAAAAGCAAAGCTTCAGGATTTTTTTTAAATGCTGTTACATTAAACAGAGGTGTCTACCTCATCTAATCCCAGCTACTGTTTTACTACAAATTTGGGTTTTCCTCTACCCTTGATAGAACTGTTAATTTAAAAGGGAGTTTAAAAGGTGAACAGAAATGTGCACAAAGAAAGTGGACAAGTGAGAGGAACAAATTGAAAATAAAGGAAATCTTTCTTGGCGTGTTAAGTGTGGGTGCATGATTATCCCCCCCCATCTTCCTCAGCCCTCCAATATTAGGCTTGTGCAGGGAGACAGGATGGAATCAAACAGGATTTTGGGTTTGCTTAAAAAACTTTAGGCTAGTAAGTAGTAGTCCTTAAATAGTTCACTACTCATTGCAGGTGCTAGACTCAGTTGAGAATTTTCGAATCCATTCCTCAGAATTTTGCAGAATTCCCAAAGGCCAGAGAGTCTGGCCTTTTCACTCAGTTTTGCAGCTCAGCTTCTGAACTGAGGTATGGAGAGCTTTGAAGTGCACCCTTTTGGGGAGCTCCCTGAGGTTACATTTCTGCTAGTAAATAAAGGCCAGGAAACATTCCTGGGCCCTGGAACTCAATTGTCTACACGATTGCATTGTTAGAAGGGTCTGTGGCATGGTTTTGGCCCAGGCAGAGTAGCACTCCCGGAAACAATTCCTGGATACTGTTCCGAAGCTAGCATGAGCCTGGAACCATTCCCAATAGACAGTTTGGATGTGGCCACCCTGGCCTGGAGACTCTCATTTTAGAAGTATGGATGTGAGTCGTTCTGTACCCAGTGGCCTTGGAGCCAGGGAACCGTCCAAGGCACATTTGATCTGCTAAGATAGAAGTGGCCTTAAAAAGAGCCTTGGAGTTCAGGAGCTCAGTTTTGTTCCTTTGTTTCTTCAAAAACAGATCTTTCATATATCTTTTGCTTTTGCATGAAATTTATAAATATTTTTTCTTTTTCCAGCATTCTTTATGGAAAGAGAATTCTGATTTCAGGAAACTTACATGTGTGAGATTTTAAACTATCTACTTGATTTTAATTTGGTAGAGATTCAGGAAAACGTAGCTAGTGCTCTTTGTGAATGTTAAAATGCTATCCCCCCGCCAAAAAAAAAAAAAAAAACTTAAACTCTGATGTTTCTTCAAATACTTGGGTAGGAGGAATTGTATAGGTCTGTTTACTACAGCTGTGACTGATAGAAGAAGTTTCTAGACTAAACTTAAGCTAGAAACTTGTAAGCAGCTTCTATGAACCTAACACAAAGCATGTTGTTTGGGCAAAGACCCAAAGTTTGATTGGAAGTGATACAAAGATTGCTTCCTAACTGTCTTTTCTTATTTCCTCTTTTTTGTGGAGGACAAGGAGAGGAGGTGCTATTTATGATTAGCAGTTTTAATTGAATACTGTGTTACGCTTCTTAAACATGAGATGGCTCTTAGAAAACATAACAAATAACTGATGCATTTTACTATGTATTCCATATGATTCCTACTTTGGTAGTGGACCTTGGATTGCTTTTCCTGGTGCTTTGGTGCTTTATACTATCAAACTCTGTCTTCCCTCCTGCACTGTTATAGTGGGATACTTGTCTTCTGTGTTTTACATTAAAGAAATTGCCTCCGTTTTGTGTGCAAGTGTACATAAATGACACCAGAATGCTTCCCATTCTTTGGCTAAGGAAAAGGCTGCCAGTTTGACCTGTTTTTCTAGACTGGACTGTGAGCTGATAGTGTTGTAGGCATAATGCAAGAAGCTTGTCATGTTAGAGAATATTTTTATTTTTTCAAGCTCAAGATTTCATGTGTTTGTAGTGCCTATTTTTTTCTCATGCTGATTCCAGTTTTACAGTTATGGAATTGTTATCTTTTCTGTTCTGACTGTTTTTTGAACTTCGTTTTGACTTTTTTAAAAAATGGAAGACTTTAAGAATATGAATCTCTGTGTTTCTATGTGATAAAAGCTCACCAAAGTCAGGAACTCAAAGTTATGGCTGATGTTAGAGAGGTAGTGCATTTGTGGGATCTGTTAAGTGTTAGGCATGAAGATCTTGTTATGGCACGTAGAAGGGAATAATTTAGTCTTGTGTATCAAAGAATCACAAGGTGGTTGAGGCTGGAAGGAGCCTTTAAAGTCATCTTGTCCAAGCCCTGTGCTCAAGCAGGGTGTCCTAGAGCACACTGCGCAAGATCCTGTCCACATGACTTTTAAGTGTCTCCACCCTTCTGGACATCCTGTTCCAGGGCTCAGTCACCCTCCCAGTAAAGATGTTTTCCCTTAGATTCATACAGAACTTATGGTTTCAGTTAGTTCCCTTTGCCTTTTCTCAAGCCATTGGGCACCAGTGAAAGGAGTCTGGCTCCATCCTCTTTAAATCTTCCCTTCAGTTATTTAACTGCATTGCAAAGATCCACCCTCAGCTTCCTTTTCTTGACCATAAAGTGTTGTAGCTCTCTCAGCCTTTCCTCATATGAGAGATGCTCCGATCCCCTATCATTTTAGTTGTCATATGCTGGACTTGTTCCAGCAACCCCAAGTTTCTCTTATGTTGGGGTGGTCCAGAACTGGACCAAGCACTCCAGATGCGGCCTCACCAGAGCTGAGCAGAGAGGACAGATCACCTCCTTCAAACTGTGGCAACACTCTGCCTAATGAAGCCCAGAATACTGTTCCACAAGGGCTCTTTGCTGGCTCATGGTCACCAATGAAAGCATGACTCCATGGCCAACATCTTCCTTCAGGACCTGCAGGTCCCTCTCTGCAGAGCCTCTCTGCAGTCCGAAGGTCAGTCCCCAGCTTGTCCTGGTGCGTGTGATGAGCAAGGTGAGGAGGGCAATCAGGACATGATTCTGGACTGCAGCACTCAGGTTCTGAGAACCTAATTAACTGTTATCTGCACATATGGGCCTGGGAGTTGTTCCGTGAATGTGCCTCGGTTTTGGAAGAGCTTGTGACTTGGTGTTAGAAGATGTTCAAAAGATTTTCTTCAGAAATAATTAAAATTAGATTTCTATAGACCTGGTTTCTTCTTGTCACATAAGAAGGTAGAAAGATTTACTGATTTTCCTAATGCCAATTCCAATGCCAGCTGTATTTTTATCAGCAAATAGTAAGCCTGACATTAACAATTCTTCTATACTGCTGAAAAGATACTTTCAAAATCCTCTATTTGGAATCCTTAATTGCTTTTGCGAAAAGAGGAATGGGTTATTGTTGTACAAAAACTTAATATAACAGATTTGGTAAAAGCTTTGGGAAATACAAGTTTCTGTTAAATATCCCTCTCTTGTCACTCCTTTTCTGGAAAGTGGACATATTTATTGTCTGGAACTTTAATGTTCTGTTCAGGTATGTATTAAAAGTTTCTTATTTATTTTAGGATTTCTGGCTTAAAGGTAGTGGGAGAATCTTTTTCTCCAGCATTGCACTTGCAATTGGAAGAGAGCTGTGGATCTCGAGAAAATGATGTGAAGTTGCTGAAAAGAGTTGTAGATTATGTAAGTGTTCCCATAGCACAAAACACAAAATACATTGTTGCCTTTAAATTTAAATAATAAACTGGGTGCATGTGGGTAAAGTAGCAGCTCTGTTTCTTAATTTGCTGGAATGTCTTGCAGGAATGAATGCCTGCCCTGAAACCCAGTTTCTTTGCTCTCTATAGGGCTGTATTAAATGTAAAATCTAACTATTTCTGGTTGAAGATGGTTGTAACACTTGATAAAAAATATATGCATTTGAACTTTGGACTTTAGAAAATGAGTATTTCCTGTTTTGTATTTCAAAGATCAAGTTAAATTTGCATTTAAACAGTTGATCAGAGAACTGCTGGTGCGTGTAGAAATACAGGCTATCCCTGGAGCAAAATTCTGTTGCTGTATTTGAATAGTCTGAGATGCAGTTTTCTGTAATTTTGCTTGTTTGAGTCCATGGACGTGTCAAGAATCTTGATATGTTTTATATTTAGCATTTTTTCTGTTATTGGTACATGCTGGTTCTCTTTCATGTGAAGGAGGTGGAGGTTGATGAGGATGATGTATATTTTAGGTGACAGGTAAACCCTAGAGAAAGAATGTAGTTATGCTCCTTTAAAATATACATAAATATGATTTAATATCTTAATTAAAGACTTTTTGCATGACCTTCAAAGTCTCCGTTTGGGAAAGACCTAGTTGTTATCCTGACACCAAACCCATAAAATTCCATTGAATGGCTTCAGTGATGCGTGGACGTATGCACAGGATATATGTCTCCCCCAGAATGATGACTGCCATGTTTTCTTTCTCTCTAGTGCATGAATAATGGTATTGCATTAACTCAGGCACGCTATCTAGAGAAAGAAGAAAAGCGTCTTCCTCCACCGAGGTTAGTAGAAAGTCAATGTATTTCTGCCTTTTATTGGATATGATTCTCTATTTTCATACAGTGTTGAGGTTCTGCTAAGTAACCTGGACTGAATAGTCTGTTAGGTGGATATGTTAATGTGTTAGCCATGCTTCTTGAGAATATTTCCAGTCACTGTTATACGGTGCCAATATGCTGAAATAACTGTATTAAAACTACCCAGACTTAGAATTCAGTTTGATACTGGCCTTGTGTGTTTATCAGGAGTATTTGAGAGCTGCATGTCTGCAGATAAGGAGGAGGCCAGATAAAATTATGTTGCTTGTGTGTTTGGGAAAAAAAGTAGTCCAACCTTTCCTGTTTAGTCATATATCTTGTTTCTTACTGAATTTATATTCATAATCCTTTCCCTGGAGGTAGCAGGTTTAATGTGTGTTGAAATTAGTTCAGAAAAGGCCTAAAACTGAGGAAAACGAGTAACTTGTTCTGCCTTTCATTTTCTAGTATTCGAGTAGTGGTAACAGTGGAGCAAACAGAACAAGAACTGGACAAAGCTGCATCACTTATTAAGGAAGCTGCACAGTCTGTGCTGAATTAGACTACCTCCCTCAAATTATCAGATACGTGTTTCACACTTTATAGTGTCTTGGCTTCCACTTCAGATATTCAAGATTGACCACCGATGACACTGAAGCCTTACTGAGTAACAAGATTTTTCCAGAATGGTACAAATGCAGTGGGGGGAAGAATGCTGAATTTCAGAACTGATAAATGACAGAGTGTATTTCAATTTTAAACTCCGACCAATTAATAGCGTTCCCTAAAATGGAATATAAATATCTTACACAAATTTTCATAAACTTAATCTTAAAAAAGCTTTAAGTTTTGTTTCCTTTTACCCTTCAATGTTTTCAATAATGTGCGTAAACATTCATTTTTGTCCAGAAATATTTAAAATTCATTATTTTGTTTGTGCAGTCTCAGAATCTAGGAGCTTCATATAAGTTTCATATATTTTTTTTTTAAAATGAAGATAGCTTGTTCCTAATACTGTTTAAAAAGAAAAGAATAACACAGTAAGAGATTTGTTTCAGATATATATATATATATATATATATATTTGTTCTTGAATCACAGTAACTTTAGTATTTATTTGTTAAGCATTTCTAGATGCCAGTTTTTCAGACTGCTTGGCCAAATAATTCGTTGCCCAAATGATAAATTCATATTAAACACTGTTTGCTTACTGCATTTCATATGTAAATATATGCATGTTTGATATATTATGGGTGAGGTTTTTCTTATTATTAACTTAAATACCTAAGCTTAAACCTTTAAATTGTGAACATGGTGCAATTTCATAATAGTATGTTCAGGTGGGGGGCTTTTGTACCAGTCTTGTAGAGGAGGCATAAACAATATGAAGAATGAACCAAAGTTCTGCAACAGCCATTGCGCATATAAGCTTATTCAGACAACATTGAAGCACTAAAATATGTGTGCTAAGTTGTATCTCTAAACAGCTTTACTGTAGAGGGGAGCACTCACAAATAGATATTAGGATTTTAGGTGGTACAAATACTTACAAAATGTCTATGCCTAAAATCCTCACATCATTGGAAAATAATTAGTTGCAGGTTATGCTGTAAGGATTTTCGGTAAGCATGGATGGACGGAAACATTATACCAATCATAGGAAACTGGTAAGGGAGGATGACATTAAACTGTACCTTTTTTTTATAAAGTAGAAACTATAACTATGTATTTCAGGATTTTTTTTTTTTTTAAAAACTGTTTTTAAAAAAAAATATTCTGCCTGATCTGTATTTTGGGTTGTTTTGTTTTGGTTGCTGCTACAAGGACTACAGTACTATTTTTGGGAAATAACATTGTTAAAATAAAAAGTTTAACATGTTTAATTCAAATCTTCATGTATCATATGATTGAATATTGCAACGAAATCTAGTTAAATTTTGTTGGATAGTTCATTTTGTTTCCTTTGGTTCGTAGTTTGTACTGGTTTTCCAAGCTTCTTACCTGTGTGTGTTCACGTAAAACCTGAAGTTTTGTGATCGTTTCTGCTGTTACTGGAAATAGTGACTCAGAAATAACTATCTGTGCAGTGTAAAGAAACCTTTACCCTAGTGGGAGTGAGTATTGCTGTTACTTTAGCATTCATGAGTCTCTGTCTCCCTTAACTTACATTTAGGGCTTTAGCTTTCAGGGCCTCTGAGAAAGCAACAATTTAAGAGCAAAAGCAAGAGGAAGAAAGCTGAGTTCCATTTTACAGGTTGAAACTGAAGGGACGAGCGATCAAGTATCTCAAAACCGTCAAAGATGCTGACATAACTGGGTGTGAAAACTTACTGCTCAGCTTTCAGTTTGTGAAACATTTGTGTTTTGATAATATGGAATTGTATTGTCAAAGGCAGCTTTTGATGCATAAGTTGGGGATAAATGAAGATGCCTGGATTCTAACGTGACATAGTAAATAGTTTTGAAGTTAAGGGTAAGCCTGTGAAGGTAAGCAAATTACTAATTAACATTGAAATAGTAGATTGCAAAATCTATATACACTGCTCACAGTGTATTTCAAATTGTGTGCAGATGGGGAGAATTTTTTGATGCTGCTATTGAGAGCTAGAAGTAAACTTTAGATATGTGTGTGGTTTTGTTTTTTGCTTTTTCTAAATGAAGTGATGACGCCTAAATTGGCAGGAAGCAATGGAACTTGTGGGAGTTTCAAATCCATGACTAAGTGGTTCTGAAAAGATGCAAGTTTGAATATGTCATTGAGACATTATCCACCAATTCATTTAGCGAACTTATAACCAGCACTAAAACGTTGTTAAAACTGCTTTTGTCCACTGCTGTTGTTTATAGGGCTTAGAATCACGTCATACATCACAATGGAGCATAATTCCTTGTTGTTAATAGCAATTGAAATATTTTCCTAACGTGTGTTTTACTGATGGACTAAATAAACAGTTTCTGGTAGAAATCAAGAAGCTCTGGTTATCTAGCTGGTAGAGAAGGGTTTTCTGTGTCAGTTTAGGCATGTCTGGCCCTCTTCATTTTGAGTCTTTTGAGAAATATCTCTCATTTTGACAAGGCAAAGAGATGAAGGGAATGAAAGCTGTGGGAAGAAAGGTTGGCTGGGACTAGAGGGACAGCAGGTGATTTTGGTTAAACTTTGACATTAGAAAGTCAGATTGGAAGCCCATTAGGGTGCTTGAATTCTCAGTGCTTTAGGCTGATAAATACATTAATAAGCCTATTTTAGTTCCATTGCAGTTGTGTTTGAATTAAGACAGGTTTTTTTTTTCACATATTTCATCCAGTGTGGGCAGCAAGCTTTGCTCTTGGTAAATGAGTGGCAAACTATTCATCCTTACAGTGAAGTGGATCAAACCCATAAGGGCCTTATCCTGAACTTCCTATTTAAAGGTCTGAATTCTAGATTTGAATTCATCTAATCTATATATTTTACTGCTGCTGAGGATTGAGATCAAAGTAGTAGTTAGGTGAAAGCATCAGATGATAAAGAGTCAAAAAATATATTTTTTTTAAAAATAAAAGATTACTATTTAGTACTTAGAAGCAATACATTATAATTGTGAAATGGCCATATTTTGAAATTGTTGTGATCAACATAATTGTTTGCAATACATAAGGAGTTCAATAGACTGGAAATAATTTATACTTGGAAAATATTTTTGCATTAATATGTATGCGTTATATGTGTATCTATATTTTAATAGAGGACATGCTTTCCTTGAACATTTAAAAATAATTAATTGTTACTTATGTAGGCTTATTGTTATAAGAAAACATACAGATGCCTTTTCTGTTTATTGTAGAAATCATTATTTTTGGATAGGAGATGAAATACATAAGGAATGTATTAAGAACGAAGTGGAGGTAAGGCTGAATAACTTTGATTTTTTCACTTTTGAAATATGATGCCAGTCTCTGCGCAGAATGGTGTCCTGTCTCCTTTCTGTCACTCCATCTGGACTTTATTATTTTAAACAGGGTTGTGGAGTGTTGGCATTCACTGATCTATGAAACTGCTACTGCAAAAGTATCTTGCATCTTAAGATGACTTGAGAACTGTACATGAGCTGTAAATGCTGCTTAAACGGGAGAAATATTTAGAAGTAACACAAAGCATTTGTGCATTAAACTGTTTCAGTGCCTCAATAAAAGGAAGTGTCTGGAGAGTATTTCTTGTCATGTTTTTATGTTGTTTGGCAGTTCGCTGGTTAATAAGGTAATGCACTTTGTCTTGCTATTGATGGACTCTTCAGACATTAGTTTCCTGTCCTCTGAGTGCAAGATTGTTCCAAAATAGATGTAGTAAAAGGCATGTACACTAATAAATCAGCCAAGCTGCAGGCTGACGGAAGCTGGAAGCAGCGTCTATCAGGGAAAAACCACTGTACACATGACCAGTGCTTAGGTAGCAGATACTTACAGGAGACTGCTGTTGCAAACTAAACACTGGGCCAGATGTGCTTTTGTTCAGACTTAGTATGGAGTTTCTGGTGTTTCAACAAGGCCTTATTTCAGATGATAGGTACCCCAGGGTTAAAAGAGCTTTACAGAAGAAAATAATGCAGTTTTGTCTTCTGTGCTCTGTAGATAATACTTACCACTTCTATTAAAGGTGTTATCACTTGGCTTTGGATATGTTTGGGATAACTGAGCTGCATTTTCCAACAAGGAATCCGTTGTTAACAAAAGCCAGGAAGAGGTGGTGTCAGAGGAGGAATAAAAGTAGAATTGGAAAGATGCTTATCAAGTGAATTACACATTTGCTGAGAACTTGTATAACTTGTATAACTGCACAGACCTAAGATATTGAAAGACTTAAGAAAGGAAAGAATTAAGGAAACTTAAGATATGTAAACTAAATTCTGCATGAGGTATATAACAAGATCTAGGTGGAACCCATATTTTTTGCCTCTTGGAATGCTGCCTCCTGGAAACTCTGAGGCCTGTTATCTTTTTTATGTGTTTGTATATATGATACTGGCCAGGACTCTGGTTCAGTGTAACGTAACTGCTGTTTTTGCTATATAAATTATTCGGAGGTAGTTGGAATTCTAGAGACTATTCATTACAGCAGTCTGATCTCTACTACAGTAAATGGCATTAGGTTTTTTCCCTTTTTTCTCTTTTAAGACTGAACTGTTGCTCTGCCCATTTTTTTCACCCTAAACACCATTTACTTAATCGCATAAATGTGTTTCTATTAAGTTACTAAGAATTTAGTGAAGCAGTAAAATTTTTGTTTTAACTTTGTAAGGGTAATATAACCTAGATTATTGGTTTAGCATGTTTGTACGGGGTGAAACTGTCTTAGTGTCAATGGTAAACGTGGACTTTTGTTATATAATCTATATATAATATGATACCCTCCTACCTTGGCATGTGGACTTTAGTTTTTAAACCTGGGAATATTTGAGTGACCTTGAAGACAACAACAACAAAAATGAAATAATGGTGACAAAACTGCTGCTTTTGGTGGTCCAAATAGGAAATATTATTGTGAAAGAGAATACTCTGTCAAATGAGGCTAAATTTTGATGTATC